AAGGGTCTCGGCCCGAAACGTCAGCCTTCCTGCTCCTCTGATGCTGCTTGGCCTGCTGTGTTCATCCAGCTCTATACCATGTTATCTCAAACATGTATCTAAGATTGATTTAGATGCTCATAGGAAGCCTAAAGAATAATAAAATTCAGGCCAGGTTTTTGAACAGGGACAATAAGCTGATGTGGAAGCAGGCCTATAATAAGGCCTCAGTCATGGGAATGACTCAGATAGTCACAAAGTGAAAGGCAGTTCCTTACCTAAGCTGGAAGGGGAATTCCCCAGGATTATTATTTTCATTCATGGGATGTGGACGTAGTTGGGTGGGCCACCATTTATTGCCCATCCTCATTACAGAAGGAATGAAGTGCAAAAATAGGGAAGTCTTGGTAAACCTATACAAAGAACTAGTCAGACGATGCCTAGAATATTGTTAACAATTTTGGTCCCTTTATCTAAGGAAAGATATAATGACATTGGAGGCAGTGCAGGAAGGTTGACTAGGTTAACCCCAGGTATGGAGAGATTTTCTTATGAGGTGAGGCAGTGCAAGTTGGAATTGTACTTACTGGAGTTTAGAAGAATGAGATGCAACCTTACTGATACATACAAAATTCTTAGTGGACTTCAAAGGGTAGATGTGGACAGACTGTTGCACCTTGTGGAATAGGCTTAGACCAGAGGCTATAGTAAGGGATCACACATTTCAGACATAAATAAGGAGGAGTTTCTCTCAGAAGGTAATGAATCTGTAGAATTCTTTACTGCAGAAACCTGCTGAGGCTTGATTATTACGAATATCCAAGACCAAAATCAATAACAGAGTCAAGTTGTATAGGGAAAAGGCAGGAGAGTGGAGTTGAGGATGATCAGATAAGTCACGATCTCATTGAATTGCAAAGCAGTCTCAATGGCTGAACAGTCTATATTTCTGTTCCTACACAATATGATCTATTGCTTGTACCCTTAACTCACATACTTCATTGCCTCATTTGGCATATGGCATCCACAGTTAATCGTCACTGCTCAATTTTAAATTTCTAATCCTGGTGTTCAAATCCATGTCCCTGTGCCTTTCTCCAACTTTGTACCTTCCTCTCGCTTCCCAACTCTCTGAAACCTCTGTACTGCCCCAATTCTGTACTCATACATATACCAGATTTTCAACGATTCAAAAACAGCACCTTTTTGTCAAAATAAAAACCAAAAGAACTATGGATGCTGTAAATCAGGAACAAAAACAGAAGTTGCTGGAAAAACTCAGCAGGTCTGGCAACATCTGTGAAGAAAACTGAGAGTTAACTTTTCAGGTCTGGTGACCCTTCCTCAGAACTGATGGTAGCTAGGAAATGACAGTTTATATGCAGAAGATAGGGCAGGGAGAGGGGGCAAGGAATAAACAATAGGTGGAGAAAGAACCCAAAGAGAGAGAAGAATAACAAGGTGTAGAGCTGGATGAACACAGCAGGCCAAGCAGCATCAGGGGAGGAGGAAGGCTGACGTTTCGGGCCTAGACCCTCCTTCAGGTTCTGAAGAAGGGTCTAGGCCCAAAACGTCAGCCTTCCTCCTCCCCTGATGCTGCTTGGCCTGCTGTGTTCATCCAGCTCTACACCTTGTTATCTCAGCATCTGCAGGTCCTGCTATCTCTGTGAGAGAAGAATAGTTGGACAGAGAAAGGAGTTAATAATGATCTGGCTAGGAGGGTGAATAGCTGTTAATGGAGACTGTTAGTGGGCACGACGGTACAGGAGACCTCCACAGGACACCCTTTGTGAGATGGCAAAGGCAGTGAATCAGGCAGCAGCTGAGAGTCATCACAGCAAAATTCTGGGAGACATCGCCACAGTCAGCACAACTATACAGCAGGTCAGAGAGAACCAGTGTCAAAGTGAGGGGGTAGGACTCTGAATAAAAGAAGGGGAATCAAGAAGTCAGGG